TATTACCGTGCAACAAAGTAAAAATTCTATAGTGTCCGAGTATTAAAATTATCCACTGTACATGGTTATAAATATAGAAATCAGTTGCTCTCAAATTAATTCGAATGTTAATATATCCCAGATTTTTTTATTCCGTCATTTAAATAAACTCATATTGTTTACAATTCTACTTTTGGTAAATATATTTTATATTGAACCCACGTTCATCAGTTTTCATTAAATATGAAGTTATTCGTACGAGATTCTTAGAATTAATAATTGACTTTATAAGAAATTCACATAGAATATAACATTGTAGTATAACAAATAAACGTATCAGATGTCTAGAAATTCATTGCATTCTTAGTTTGTTGCAATTATTAAAAATTAGATAGGAAAGTATTCGCATATTGTTTACAACAGTAGCAAGCAATTTAATTCACACAGAAAAGGGACATTTTTTCACGCATTTGGTCATTTTAGTGAGCAGTTAAAGAGTTCATTTTGTGCATGAGACAAACAAGAGTGCATAACTATTTTGAAATAAACTGATATTATTTGTTTAAGCATTAACCCCTTCCCTTATAATAACGAGTCACTCTCGTTGAGTGGATTATGGTTAAAATATACCAAATGTGAGTTCTCTTTGTGATAAACTTCAATTTTAATTCATAAATTTGAGGATTATTAAATAGAAATTGTACGTAATTTCTTAATCAGGTTTATCTAACTCATTATTCAAGCGATGAGTAACTACTGTTAAGAAATATAGCTACTGAAAAATCATAAAGCAAGGAGTTAAATACAAGTGTCTCACAAATTTAGTTACTTTTATGGTCTAGAAGCATCTGAAACATGGAAATTCTTAGTTGAAGCATCAAACTGTAAATTTCATCCTTAACAGCTGCAAACAACGAAAGTCAGGCTGAAGCTAAAGCTATAGCCGAACCTTAGGGAGAGTTGCGTTAAACTAATGGCGTACTAACCTGTCATTAATCAAGCAACAATGCATTGTGCGTAATGCTGAATTTATGTGAAACTGATAGGGAAACGTCAGTCCATAGATTTACGTTTGGAATATTGGTTATAAAGACCAGGAGAGTATTTTCAATTTGCATGGTTCAACATTGTAAATTCGCGTACGTTGTAATTCTCGATACGTGTAATCTCAATTAATTTTCACTATTTTAGTAAATATGATAAAGCGAAATTTTACTGGAAACAACGACCCGAGGATGACAGTTTTATATTTACTTTTTAATAACACTGGTATACGTGTGATGTCTTTAGTAATTTTTGCAAACATTAATTTTCTATATTTGAACATTGAATTACATTTTACTTAAATTTATTTAACGAAATATCTAATCTACACCTTTTCGTCTGTTACTGATTCAATAATGTGTTTACTGACTTTATTATATATATTTGTTAATTAAATCACATTCTAAAAATTAATTCTATTCTGAAGGTGAGAAAGGCGACTCGTTGGATTGTTTTTTTTTTTTTCACAATGCATCGTCGGTTTGAGGTAGAGAATTTTTAGGCACAGATTAATAAATTCACCATGGTTCCATAATTGGAAAGTAATAATAATTGTTTTACTGCCTTCAGTGATCTCTAATGACATTTAATAATAGCTAAAATCGCCACAACAGTGCCTATCATACAACGATAAAAAAATATAGATTCTCGTTTAAAAGAAATAGAGATCAAATCTCCTCTACGTCTCCGCCTATGTGAAAAGTATTCACATCGCATTATGTCTCTCTCCATATCACGCAAACTTTGCATGCAACATTTTTCCATATTATTAGAAATAAAGGAAAAATTCCAGGTGAACAATGTTTCTGCGCCACCCTGTATATCCGGCTCCAGAAGCAAAAGACAATACTTTAATTCTCGCGGAATGTGATTGGATTGGACGCACGTGGGCCATCAGCTAACGTTCCTGTACTATTAGTCGTGAAGGCAGGGAGGAGGGAGCTTTTTTTAGCTTTGGGAACAAAGTTGGATAGAAGTGCCTTGATTAATGAATTCGTACGAAATATTTGTTTGAAATAGGTGACGATAATAGCTGTTATATTATTTTTGTAGGTTCCTCTTCTTTTTTAATTTTCGTTTGAATTTGATCGTTTAAATATCATGTGATAATCACGTTTAGGCTCGCCATATACAGTAAATTCTCTACAAGTGTCAGTCAGTTTGGATTCTACAAGTGTCAGTCAGTTTGGATTCTACAAGTGTCAGTATAGATGGTCCTACACCTAGGTCTGCGTCATTGCTGCGCCTATGTTATCTCGCAATCAGTCAAGCGTCTAACGCTACACCACTCGGTTTCTTTTACGAGATTTCACGGCTCGACAATTCATAATATAATTTCTTTAATATTACTTTTTTTCATCTGAAATTCTTTTTAACATGTTGGTGAGATTTTTCTGATGAAAATAAGATCAAACACGATATAATTTGAACAACATTTACTTATTAACACGTTCACAGTCACGCCAGACAGTAGTAGTCTCTTAAATGGTCTGACTCAAAAAGAGGGACAATTATCGGTTTCGCAACAAGCACATTGCGATTCGTAACAATACATATAATACGTCCACAGTTAAAATCGTACCCGAAACTTTGAACGATCCCTTCGAAACACCTAAATCCTTTACCATTAGCGAAAAACTCTAGATTGGCCGGTGAAAGCACAATTGATATTTTTTCCGCTAGACGTGGCAATTTGCCTAGGACACCGTAAATTCGTATTACCGTTCAGAATGTCTGCTTAACATGTCAAATTCTGATTTTCCAGGAATCGATAGACCGCCCACGACGCGTCGGCCGAATACCAGGCGAGACTCTAAGAAAAGTTGGAAGATTGATCGCAGTCACGAAAAGAACACGGCAGGCATGAAGGACGAGCCAATACTGAAGGGTGTCGAGAACGATGAGGAACAGATTGATTTTCAGTCGGCTACTGCCTCGTCTCTCCTTCATCGACACCTGTTCGCAAACCTTGGCATCACCATTGTCATTTTAGCAGGTGGACTATCAACGTAGGCCGTCTTATGAACAGCAATTACGCCTGAAACTGATTAATTCGCGCCCAGAACGAGTCTTCAGGATAACGCGACGAGTCACAAATACCGAAGTATCGATGACTAAACGAACGCGTTACTGTTCGAGAGGAACGTGGACAAGGCTAAACATTACCACGCATCGAGGACCAGCCTGTTCGAAGGTTTCTTCCTGTCCACATGAAAATTAGTAGATATTCAAATGTGAGAAGTTTGTGAAACGAGATATATATATATATAGATATATATTTAAGCCAGTGATGTGAGCGCGTTCCTCTTCAACGAACTATTCTGTTATTGTTTTAACAATTTAATTGTGACTTTTTGAGCGAGTGAACGATGTTTGCTGTATTTCTCTTCTTTTTTCCTTTCACACGAATTTCACAAGTCGACCTAGAGATTGTAATATCATTTTCGTTGCGTTTGTTAGTCGTGTGTGATGAGGAAGGGATGTTTATGATTAATGAAAGACACGTAAATTAAGCAGAGCTATATTTATTTTTGAAATAGTTCAGATTGCTGGTGCTACGATGCGAAAGCACCTGAGGCAATGAGTTTGCCAAGAAATTCGTTCCTTTCGAGAAGGATGTCTTTGAAATTCCCATATCTGTTATTTGTTTTGTAAGTTTGCGACTGTTCGTATGGCCTATTGCGATATCGGATGAGCTGATCGTATTTTTTCACATTTTTCTATTGATTTTTAATAGTGTTTAACGACAAACATGTGATGTGAAATTTGAGGAACAGTTTTTATAAACGGTGTCACCAGTTGTGTTCACTTTTATTCGTAATGTGTAAAATTAGTTGTAACGTTATTTTATTTTACTGTAAACAATAGTCCTAAAATGATTGAAAGATTTTCTATCCGACGTTATCAACGCTGTAAAATAATGCGCTATATATGATACGTTACTTCCATTGATTGTCAAATCTGTAACACTTGAAATGCTGAATTTAACTGTTCGAGAAGTTCTTTTCGAAAGACATCATGTGTATGTATGGTATTCAGTGCAATGTTTGATCACATTCGATCAATTCGGTTTGTAATTCTATGTATATATACAGTGAATTTGAAGTAGGTGGTTTATTTACAAAAATATATGTTGTTTACGTTTAAAAGAAGCTTCAATATGTTATGTGTGGAGAAATGCTGCTATATATAATCGTTAGTAATTTCTTGTGTACGATAAACATTTGTTGACACGATGAGGTTTTTTAAAATACAGGGTGAACCACGTGAAACAGGCCATCTAATATATGCTGGTATGACAAAAATTTTGTACTTAATTTAAATGGTTTCAAAGGGTGAAAAAGATGGAAGAAATGGCAAAAAATGAGAGGAGATTTCAAATTTTATTTAAAATTTTAGAGTCCCAGGTCATTTTATGGTTGCATTATTATACCTGCTACAAGGTACAGTAGAAACGCATATATACATGAATTTTTGCAGAAAATATGGAATTTATAAAAAAAAATTTCTCCATTTTATTCATCCTTTGAAACCATTTAAATTACGTATGAAAATTTTCTCGTACCATTTACGTGATACACGCTGTGTAACTTTGAAAGTAGGGTCTGACCTATGAAAGACTGTTCTACTTATAGCGAGAACGAGAAACATCCTACGTAGATTTACATAAAGACGAAAATGTTTTATTCTGGAAGTATTATATCATGTTTTATTTACGGTTGAGTTTTCTCTACTGAAGCGACTACATTTATCCAAACGTTTCGTTTCATATAATAAATAAAATCTTACTCTTTATAAGTTTCTTCTGTAGACATTGTTTTAGATGCATGGAAGAGTTTAAATTAGCAGGTTGAAAAATGGAAAAGATTTGTAAACTTTTTGTCAAGTTGTTTAACAATTGTTTAATAATTCGATTATCAAATTTAATAGGTGATTTATTAACTTCGATATGTACGCCGATCTGATTGAACTTAACGTTATAAAAATTAATATGAGTTGAATCTTTGTTTTGTTTTGTATAATAGTTGAAGTTTAAAACTTAATACGAGTCTTTGAAGTGATATTATGAAAGATAGTGCTGTTACAGAATTTATCATTTGTGAAAGTTTTGATATGAATTAATTCCTACGATATTATTACAAAATAATCATTTGATGTGACAGAATTTGAATAATTTTACAATTCCTTAAAATTCACGAGTCATCCAGTAATTTCTAAATAATTTCTTATGTTGTAACTCGCTTTACGCGAGTCGAACCAAATTTTACGAAAGAACGAAACGAAAGAAGAAATAACATATTGTAAATATTCCGATTTTAGTCTGTAGTTTTATGAGTGCCTGAAAGAATAAAAAATAAAATGCACTTATAGATAAATTAACGTTCGCATGAAAGGAAGTTACATCGACGCAGCAGTTTCCTTTGAGTTTCTAATTTAAAATAAAATTTACAAAAAACAGAACATGAAACGAAGGCAACAGATAATAATAAACGTTCTAAAAATGATAACAATGTTGAAAGAATAAAATATTTCTGTGCCCTATGTCCACAAAAAGTTTGCCTCCACTACAAAGATGAATGAGAATTTGAAAATTTCACCATCTACTTCAGAAATACTGTTTGCTCGTGACATTCAAATATTTATGTTACTCATCCCTTTCGGATGCTTTCATCACTCCATAAGTGCGTTTGTAAATTCTGTACCCATTGGTAGCGATGCAATAACCAAGGTAGGTCGATACTGGTCTATGTATAGGGACACCTACGACCTGGGTAATATTTTAATATACCCCGACCAGTAAATAACATCGTATATTCCTTCCACTCCTCGAATTAACGTTCGAAACGAAGGTAGATCAGTACAAGCAGAGCGAACCGAGCCCACAATCCGTCTATACACATATTCCTAACGTTAACGTTGCTTGTTGAACACGAGTTTTGTGATCATGTTTCGGCCTTAACACTTTCGCTGCTGTTGGCGCCTATAGGCGCTTTGAAAATGTGCTCGCGCTGCACTCTTGGCGCCTATAGGCTGTTCGAAAATGTACTCGCGCTGTGACCTTGGCGCGCCTACAGGCGTTTTGAATATATTTGCTCGCGCTGTGTTCTTGGCGCTTTTTAGCACACTTTCGTCTTAATTTACTCCTTAATTTTACTCCTTTGCGCAATTCCACCCTTAATTTAATAAAAGAAAATTGTAAATTTTTAATTTTAATTTAAAAATTCTTTGTAACTTTAAAACGCCAAAACAGAAGATTTTACGATTGTGATGGAACATCTATCGTTTGCCACGCGTGCTATGTGCTAATATCAGTCGCAGCGAAAGGGTTAATAAATGAGAGAAAGGAGAAAAAATGTCATCAGTTAGAATGAGAGAGAAGAAAGTTGTGCATCATCACATTGTCCTTTAGTTCAGCTTGCGACGATTCCTGTTACGTATAACGTAAGGTGTGTGATACCAAAAATAATCCATATGCGATGCAGATCATTGCTTTCGGCGCATAGGATATACGTGGTATTGTAAAATAATAGCGTGTGTATAATAACATGTAGACTAAGCCTCAGGGACATGTAAATATGTTAAGCTGTAAGACGATGTTGTGTTAGTTTTTGCATTTGTGATCACACTGCCACCTTTCCCACCCCATCTCGTGTAAATACAATGTAATCTACCGTATACTTGGGCAATAAATGTTAGACAATCGTATAATTAGTATGTTTGAATTATGTTTCAAGTTTAGTTTTTTTTATCCCTTATACCGAAACTGGGTCAATTTGACATAAAATCAAATCGCAAATTTTCGTATCCTCAGTTATTAAATTCTGTTTCCTCTCTAAATATAGACTGAACCTTTTTCATATTCTTAAGTATTTCATAAACATTAATAATCTTTACAAAAAGAAACAAAATTTGTATGTTTTTTAAAATAGAAGCTACTTATATTTTTCTTACACACTTGTGGAATTTATGGATCAATTTGATGCAATATAAGGAAAAAGAAACAGATAGACAAGCATAACACTAGAGAAACGAGTTAGACAAGGAAGGGAATAGGGTTAGATAAGGATAAAGAATTTTTTAAACAAACGCCATCTCGTGTTTGGATGCGCGAACTAACAGCTCGTTACTAGGAACACAGATTGTAAACAGAGGTATTAGACAAGGAACGCAATACTGTGCGACAAGGATAGAGAGAGAACGTTTCCTATTGGCTGGCGGGCCACTAAACTCCACCTCCCACGGGCTAATCATGTCGCTCAGGGAAAAATGATTAATAACTCAATAATTAGGACGATTTTGTGAACTTTTAGAATTGAAGAATGAAGTATGAACTTCCGTCAACTTTCCCATATAAGTTTTAATGCTCTAGAACCTTCGAATAATTAGTTATTAACAATTTTGTTACGTGATGTCGGAAACGATACCGCAAACCGTCAAGTACTTTCACCGTTTTTAAATAATTTCAGAGCTTTTTACTAAATTCTCATGCACCTACCTATATACATCTGAAAGGTAACTCCTTTAGCTACATTCTTATGTAATTTTTATTAACATATCCGGTGTACTTTAGGAGTTATTAAACGTTATACAAGAGAGTCCCCTATTCATCGCACACGGGTATAGTCAACTGTTATGAACAATTGCTAATATCTAATGAACCACATCACTTACGCTTATCAAACTAGTTGCAGAATATAAATAAAAGTCTATTCTACATTCTTCATGTTCAAAACTACATATTTAGATAGGTATGTCTATTGAAATAATGAAAATGTGTTACGCGTGAATGTGACGGATGTAATACTCATCCAAAGAATGTTAAATAACTATCAAACCACAAGGGATATGTAAATGAAAATTAGACGAGAATGTAGCCAAAGGAGTCCTCTTTCAGAAACGTCGTTAATTATGTGACAAGTTGGCAGGAAGCTATGGAATTATTGAAATGCCGTTAAGATATGCGGTATCGGTCCCGACATCGCGTTCTGAAATTGTTAATAACTAATTCCTGA